GAAACCCAAAGTAAGCTTATTAAAGTAGTCGAAAGTAAACCATATTCCATGTTGTTACAATAATTTAATAAATCCTTCTAAAATCACGGTTTACGAATTACGAATACATGTTCATTTTATCTATAATAGACTCTTAAAGAACGTCTGTATGAATTAGTTCCTGAAAAGCAAGAAGAAATAAAACGTGTCAAAAAAGAACACGGTGCCAAAAGCTTGGGGAATGTTACAGTCGATATGGCTTATGGGGGTATGAGGGGTATCAAGGGTTTAATATGGGAAGGTTCAGTGTTAGACCCGGATGAAGGCATTAGATTCCGTGGTTATACCATCAACGAATGTCGAGAACTGCTTCCAAAGGCAGACGGTGGCGAAGAACCGTTGCCTGAAGGTCTTTTTTGGCTTTTAGCAACTGGTGAAATTCCTTCTAAGGAGCAAGTTCGCGTACTTTCAGCTGAATTGGCTGCTCGTTCGGCGATTCCTTCATTTGTTGAAGACCTCATCGACAGATGTCCAAATACTCTACATCCGATGTCTCAATTCTCATTGGCTGTTACAGCTCTACAGCACGATTCGAATTTTGCAAAAGCCTATCAGACTGGCGTTAATAAGAATGAATACTGGTTATACTTGTACGAGGATGCGATGGACTTGATTTCTAAGCTGCCAAATGTGGCAGGAAGAATTTATAGAAATGTTTATAAAGATGGCAAAGTGCCACCAATTGAGCCAGACCAGGATTATTCGTATAACTTTGCAAAAATTTTAGGATATGCCGATAATAAGGATTTAGTGGAATTATTGAGGCTTTATCTTACAATTCATTCTGACCATGAGGGTGGAAACGTATCGGCTCATACGATGGTAATTATATAAAATTCGCATTTAAAAATAACATTTAATCGCAACATTTATTTATTACAGAGATTAGTAGGAAGTGCACTTTCCGATCCATTTCTTGCATTTTCGGCATCTCTGAATGGTTTGGCTGGACCATTACATGGGTAAGTTTGTTATCCAAAAGACGGCTTATTTTTATGAAAGGTCTGTATGAATACTTATATGCTAAAGATTGGACTTTAAATAGTCTTGCCAACCAGGAAGTAGTTCGTTGGATTCTTAAAATGAGGGATACCGTTGGTGAATCACCTTCCGACGAAACTATTAAAGAATATGTTTGGAATACTTTGAAATCAGGAAAAGTAATCCCAGGTTATGGACATGCTGTTCTCCGTAAAACGGTGAGTTTAATATATTCCTAAGTTATTATACAGTCAGACCTCTCTAAATGCATAGCCGAGGGGCGGCCAAAAAATCTTCATAGACTATGCATTTAGGGAGGTCTGACTGTATTTATTAATACGATTGTAACCTATCTATATTTTAGGATCCAAGGTACACGGCGCAACGTGAATTCGCGTTAAAACATCTTCCAAATGATCATCTTTTCAAGCTCGTATCACAACTATACAACATTGTACCTGATGTGTTACTTGAACACGGTAAAACGAAAAATCCCTGGCCTAATGTCGATGCACATTCTGGTATATTATTACAGTATTACGGCTTAGTTGAGCAAAATTATTATACTGTACTTTTTGGTGTTTCAAGATCTTTAGGTGTTTTAAGTCAGTTAATTTGGGATAGAGCTTTGTATGTATTTCTTTATAACTAATTTATTCGTTTTTTCGTACATTAACATGATTTTACTTACATTACAGAGGTTTTCCTATTGAAAGACCAAAATCTTACTCAACAGCATTAATCAAAAAGATGTTTGCAGAACAACAATATGCGGTTTTC